AATAAAAAATTGTGTTCGGAGCAATAAAAAAAATTGTGCTCGAGCAACCAAAAAAAAGGGGGCTCGGAACAATCGGAAAAAAAATTAAAAAAATAAATAAGCATATACACACATGTTTAACCAGCAACAATTCGCACAAAACCTAACCCAAAAGCCCCATTTGAAATGCCGACGGCAAATCAACCACGAGTTTGGCAATTGCATTTTTGCATAATTTTCACATATTTATTAACATATCTACGTTTTGCAGTCAAAGCATATCTTCGAGCAACAATTTTCATATAATTAAAAAATTTAAGCAATTTTCATCATTATTTTAAATAAATCATTGCTGCAAACAAGAAAAACGTGCATATACACATTTCTTTCATGCACCCGCAATCATTCGCAACTTCTTACACACCACACGCAACATATTTAACAGAGAACATACACAAAAAATGTTAAAAACGTCTGTGGACATGTTAAAAGCGTGTGTTGAAATTCCATAGTGGATCCATTTCAGACGACAATATTTCCACTCAAAAAATATGTACCTTCTCGTTCTTATATGTTCTCTGGTCCGGGTTGTAATATTACGTCCGCCGAAGATAAAGAAATTTATTCGTAGTGCGTCTTCTGTATATTGTTTTTTCTGTGCTTGTACCAAGCTATAACAAGGTAGAAGTGATTTTGACATTTTTCTTTTGAACTCCGACTGAAATCTCAACTCTTAACCCTATACTGTTCAAATTTTTTGTTTGTTTTTATACCCGAGCGCACTTGTGCACAAGGGTATTATAACTTTGTTCACATAACGGTTGTTTGTAACAGGCAAAACGAATCGAGATAGATATAGACAAATGTATACATAAATGATCAGAATGAAAAGAGAAATCGATTAAGCGGTGACTGTCTGTCCGTCCGTCCGTCCGTACGTCCGTCCGTCCGTCCGTCCGTCCGTCCGTCCGTCCGTCTGTGCACACGATAACTCGAGTAAAAATTGAGATATCTTAACGAAACTTGGTACGTGAACTTCTTTTGGGCGTGGGACGGATGGTATTGAAAATGGGCGAAATCGGATAATAACCACGCCTACCTCCCATATAACGGTAATTTTAAGAAATACGAAAACTGCGATATTTTAGTAACTACTGAAGCTAATTCACTAAAAATTGATACTTACAATGAGTTTCAGACGGAAAACATGAATATTATAAATTTTTGGAAAATGGGCGTAGCCACGCCCACTTATGGTTACATTTGTATATCTTGGTAACCGCTACACCAATTTCTTCCAAACTTAGCACAGTTGTTGGCCTTAGTACAGCTTACTAAATGGCTGAAAATTTTAAAAATCGGACAATAACCACGCCTACCTCCCATATAACGGTAATTTTCAGAAAAACGAAAACTGCGATATTTTAGTAACTACTGAAGATAATTCACTCAAAATTGATATTTGCAATGAGTTTTAGACTAAAAATAAGAATATTACAAAATTTTGGCAAATGGGGGTAGCCACGCCCACTTATGGTTACATGTGTATATCTTGGTAACCGCTACACCAATTTCTTCCAAACTTGGCACAGTTGTTGGTCCTGATACAGCATACCAACTGGCCGAAAATTTCTGAAATCGGACAATAACCACGCCCACATCCCATATAACGGTAATTTCGAGAAATACAAAATCTTCGATAAATCAGTAAATATTGAAGCTACTTTATTCAAAATTGATGATTGCAACAATTCTTTACCAAGAAATACGTTTATGACAAAATTTTGGAAAATGGGCGTAGCACCGCCCACTTGTGATCACATATATGTATCTCGCTAACCGTTCTAGCAATTTGTACCAAGCTCGGTATGGTTATTGTGCTTGCCACATAAAAGCAAACCGTTGAAAATTGTTGAAATCGGACTAGAATTGAGGCCGCTTTTCATATAACGGTAAATTTCAGATATGCTTGAAACTGCAATATTTCGAAATTTAAGGACGCTAATTTACTTAAAATGTATACACCCCGGCTTATCATGTAGCGGTAGCTTTCGGAAAGGTGGAAAACATATATTTAATACTTGCGCCGGGTATTTAATGTTCGGCTCCGCCCGAACTTAGACTTTCTTACTTGTTTAATTTATATTTTCAGTTGTGAGCTGTGCGAAAAGGAATTACCGGCGGTGTGTTGTGTTTGCCAAGAGCCAGGAAAAAAACTTGTGCGTTATTTTAAACTTCCAAATTGTCAAGTGAAGCGACAACGGTTGGCAAATTGCTGCGATGTTTCATTAGGAGACTTAATTTGTTGCCCATCGCAGCCGAGTATTTCTAAGCGGACACGTTTGTTCCCAGGTGCAGGATTTATCGTACCTAATATGAAAAGAAAATCGCCCACTCATATACATAGATAGACCAAATTTCAAATTGTGGTCTGATAAAACCTAAATCA